AGGGTAGTGAAGACAGGTCCTTCAACACATCTCAGCCTCTTTCTTCCGGTTTCAAAAGAGCCTTATTCCACAGATGAAATGGGCTGATGCATCACACATGCTCACACATGATCTTTCATCTTAGCCTGGGCAGGGCTTGCATGCAGACGTCGTTTATTGGGGGGTCCTCCTATGGGGAGGGGGAGGGCTGGGAGAGTGACGCTGAAATAGAGGGAGCGCCATTGCAGGAGTGACCCTGAGTGGATCATCCTGTGACTCTGTTCTGCTGGACCTGCCTCCCTGAAGTCGGTGGAGTGGATCTAAGCCGGGAGGATGGGGACATTGATCCACCAGCTCCCATCTTCCTGCTCAAAGGCCATCCCTCGAGCTTTTAGTGTCCACACACACACAGGTGCGAGGCCGCTCCCCTGGCCATTCACCCAGAGCCATGGGGCAAAAAGCAAGAAATAGCTGAATGGAGGCATCGCAGGTGCTGTGTGGGGGCGCTGGTGGCTGCATCAGCGAAGGCTGGAGTAAAGGGGGTGCTGAGAAGCACTAGGTGTGGCTCAGGGTGTCCGCTCTCAATAGGTGTCCGCAGCTGCTGGTTAGAGCGAGGGAGGAGCACGTGAACTCGTGCTTGTGAAAGCAGGTGAGCACCATTATTAAGTCTCCCTCCAGGTTCCCTTGGTCAGGACAGACCTCTGAGGTGGCCCACTGTGGGGGCACCCTGGAGCGCCTCACGGGGTGACCAACTCATCCCGTGTGCCTGGGACTTTCCGGGTTTTACCCGTGTCCTTGTTCCCTGAGGCCTGGCCTTCCTAGCTAAGGGCAGCCCAGCCCAGAGACTAACCTGCTGCCGGTGCCCTGCCGGCGCCCTCCCGGGACCACGGCTCACATTCCATTCACCTGCTTTCTGTCCAGGGGGGAGGGTCTGTGCTCACCTCAGACACACCGCCACCCTTCCACTCAGAACCAAAGACTCCGTTTCCTTTCTTTTAACAAGCCATATTGGCTCATTTCCATTCATCGTGGAAAACTCCAAAAAACACAGGAAAAGCAATCTAAAGAAGAGAATTTTAATTCGCTCATAACCCTATCACCCAGATGCGAAACACTGCACACACTTCAAGATCTTTCTTTCCAGATGTTTCCTTTAACAAAGGCGGCTCGTGATGGATGTGTACATCCCTAGACTCTTAGGGCAGAGAGAGCTCCCTCTGGCCCAATTCCTGAGTTTTGTTTTGTGTTTGTTTTTTAAGATTTGTTCATTGATTTTGAGAGAGAGAGGAAGAGAGACGGGGAGAGACAGAAACATTGATGTGAGAGGGGTACATCAGTGGGCTGCCTCCTTAGAGAGAAGGTTAGCAAAATACATTGGGAGAGATTTGGAACAATCGTGTGTATACCCTAATGCAGGCGTCTTCAAACTATGGCCCGCGGGCCACATGCGGCCCGCAGAGGAGTCTGATCCAGCCCGCCAGGTTTTTTGGGCAGTGAGCGCAGCCGAGGTGTTACAGTAGGAATTAGTAGTTCATATAGTCCGGCCCTCCAGCTCTCTGAGGGACCGTGATCTGGCCCCCACTTTAAAAAGTTTGAGGACCCCTGCTAATGTTTCAAAACCTGAGTTTTATTTTCAGATGGAATGTATAAATACATGGTTTCCTCATTTCTGTCAAAGCATTTTTTCCTTTTAGCATTATCAGTGTTGGAGCAAGATTTATCCCACTGGTCCCTACACTATTCATTTCCTTCCAGGATTTTCAGCAGTTTTGGATTAATATCAATGTATGGTTCTTTGGGTTAATATCCAAGATATAAAGCACTCATGCCACTCAACAAAAGGAAGACAAAATCCAGTTGAAAAATGGGCAGAAGACCTGAATAGACATTTCTCCAAAGAGGACGTACAAATGGCCAAGAGACATATAAAAAAATGATCAAAGTCACTGATCACCAGAGAGACACAAATTAAAACCACAATGAGATATCACCTCATATAAATCAGAATGGCTATCATAAAAAATAAAAAAAAATTACCAAGCCGAGACCGGTTTGGCTCAATGGATAGAGCGTCGGCTTGGGGACTGAAGGGCCCCGGGTTCGATTCCGGTCAAGGGCATGTACCTTGGTTGCGGGCATATCCCCAGTAGGGGGTGTGCAAGAGGCAGCTGATCGATGACTCTCATCGATGTTTCTAACTCTCTATCTCTCTCCCTTCCTCTCTGTACAAAATCAATAAAATATATATATATTTTTTTAAATTACCAAACAACAAATGCTGGCTAGGATGTGTGTGTGTGTGGGGGGGGGGGGGGGGGGAAGGAACCCTTTTGCACTGCTGGTGGAAATGCAGACTGGTGTGGCCACTATGGAAAACAGTATGGAGTTTCCTCAAAAAAATTAAAAATGGTACTTCCATTTTGACTCAGCAATCCCACTTCTGGGAATATATCCTAAAAATCCCAACGCACCAATCAGAAATGATATATCCACCCCTATGTTCATAGCAGCATAATTTACAATAGCTAAGATTTGGAAACAGCCCAACTGCCCATCGGTAGATGAGTGGATACAAAGGTTGTAGGACATTTACACAGTGGAATACCATGCAGCTATAAAAAAAAAGAGTTATTTCTTTCCTTTTGGGACAATGAGGATGGACCTAGAGAATATTATGTTACGTAAGCCAATTCGAGAAAGACAAATATCACATGATTTCACTTATTTGTGGAATCTAATGAACAAAATAAGACCCAAGGCATGGAGGCATGGAACAGACTGACATATATTGATGTGGGGTTGGGAGGATGAGAAGAGATAAACCAAATAACTTATATATTTACATGCATAACCCATGGGCAATAAGGTGGTGAAGACCTGGGATGGATGGATGGATGGATAGGGGCTAGGAGGATGGGAGTAAGGGGGGGGTGGTTTAAACCGGAGACATCTGTAATACCATCAACAATAAAAAATATACATAAATAATAAACAGGTTTTCTTAAAAGTAAGATCTATAGGTATTGACCTGGAGAGATGTGTGTACATATTGTTCAATGGAAAAAGCAGTTTTTAGAGTATAATTCCATTTTATAAATAAGGATATAGGCGTTCTTGAAACCCGTTTATCAGACCCTTATAAAGCGAAACATGCACCTCTCGTATGAGCCAGAATCTGCACACCTGGGCATTTATCCCAGAGAATAAATGCTGAGGTTCCCCCCAAAGCCTGTACCTGAAAGTTTACAGCAGCATTGTCAGAAATAGCTGGAGTCCTGGCCGAGGTAGCTCAGTTGATTGGAGCATCGTTCCATGCACCCGAAGGCCATGGGTTCAAACCCCTGTCAAGGCGCGTGCCCCGGTTGCAGGTTCCATCCGCAGCCAGGGCAAGTGCGGGAGGCCCACCGGCCTGGAAAAGGCTTGCTCTGAGTCTGGGGTACGGGAGCCAGGAAGGAGAGGAGGGTGTGGCTGGCCCATTCTGGCCCAGCCTGCCCTGGTGCTCTCACTCTTGATCACAAACACTGCCAGCTCGCTCGCTCATGAAAGAGTAAGGACCCGCCGAGCAGAGGGTGTGTGATTTCTGGGTCCAATAGCAGCACACCTGCTTGGAGCCATCACCAGGGGCCAAGAAACATCTAAGTGCCTTTTACGGACTATCTTGTGCCAACTCCTTAGGTGGTAAGGCTTGTGGTTATCTCCCTTCTGCAGAGGAGGAGTCCGAGGCGGGCAGTAAATTGTGTGTGTTTGACTTAGCACAGAGAACACTGCCGAATGCCTAGCACTCAAGGCACCACCTAGACCCTCCTCTGTCCCTCACCGCCCCTCACCAAGCCCGGCCCACCCACCAGTGGCCCTCCGAGGCCGGAGCCCCGTGGGCCTGCAGGAAACAGGGGACCTTACCCAGCACCCTGGCTCTCCGGAGGCAGCAGATGGCAGAGAAAGCTCCAGGAAGCAGCCAGGAGGACAGCTAATTGTAAACGTCAGGAGAGCAGGTGCCCATGCCCACCGGCGGCGGCTCCTGATGAGACGTGCGGGGAGACGGCCGCCGGCCTGCCGCTTGCCCGGCCTCCCGCTTGGTGTGAGGTCAGGCTGAGCCCCGGGCCAGCGGGGCGCCTGGCTGCAGCTGCAGGACGTGAAGTGGGCCCAGCTGGAGGCCCGCCCAGCCCGGCCCTGTGGGGCGGCGAGAGGAGCTCCTTGCAGGAGCCGGGAGGCTGCCCCACGGTGAGGGCTGGCTGGGCAGGGCCGGGCCTGACATCCTCTGTGCCCCCCTCTCCACCGTGTCCAGTTCTGCCCCGGGCGTCCCCAAACTGTGGGGAGCAGGGGCTGGGAGAGCTGGATGGAAGGTTCTGGAAGGGAGGGCTGGCCTGCCTTCCTGCACTCGTTCAACTACCCACGGTCCTGCCTCCCATCTAGGAAGGTGCTTCTCACAGTGGGCAGGGGAAGCCAGGCGGTCAGGAGATGACCTGGCCTTTCTGGAAGTCTCTCCCGCTCCAGGTTCTCTTCCTTCCATCCGCCTGAATGAGGGGGTTGCAACCTGTTGTGCGGATTCGGCGTGTACCTGGGGGAGGAACTGGCCATGCCTGTGTGTTTGAGAGAAGGGAAGATACAGACAGACAGACTGAGCCCCTCCCCATACAGCCTCCAGCCCCCTCCTCCGCCCCCACCCCTCCCGCTGCACAGACCGCCAATCTCCAGCCTCATCAACCTCCCCTCCACTCCCCAAACTCAGATTCTTGGCCATTTTTTGCAGACATGGCTCTGCTGTCCCCTTGGGTCGGGGATCACACGTCTTGCTTGCCCCAGGTCAGTCCCACCGGAGGTCTCTCGTCTCCGGATAGCTATGGGTGGTGTGGTCACCTTTGGGGCATCTTCCCACTGCGACGCCTGAGCCTTTCCCCTCTCCCCGCGCCCAGGGCCTGCCCAGGGCCGGGCACATGTGCAGCGACCCAGTCCGGGGTGAAGGGGCGAACGAATGACCCCCTGGCACAGCCCCCACATCCCTTCCCTCCTGTTCCCTCCAGGGATCTACAAAGGGCACTGCTTCCGGATCAACCACTTCCCAGAGGACAACGACTATGACCACGACAGCTCGGAGTACCTCCTTCGTGAGTGTCAGACCCCTTGCTCCCTTTGGCGTGGGGGGTGGGGGGGGCGGCGGCGCCGGTGGCAGGGGGGCGGCTGGAGGAAAGATGGGGTCCGTGGGAGTGGAGAGGGTACCGTTCTCCGTGAGCGCTTGTCCCTCCCTTTCTGAGTCTGAGGATGGAGTCTGTCCTGCGTTGCCATGAGGTTCTGGGATCCCATGGAGTTCCTTGGCTGATAGAGACTGAGGCCTGGGGAGAGCGGATGGGGTGTGGGTGCCCCCACTCCTCTGGTTGCTGGGTGTGGCTAGCTCCGAGGAGCCGGCTGCTGCCGCTGGGCCTGGGGCCCGGAGGCTAGAGGTGCAGGCTTGCCCAGACCCAGCATCCCTGGGGGACTGTGACACCGGGGCCCATTCCCCTCCGGTCCTGGGTCCACCCGCCCCTCCACACACCCAGCATGCTGCTCTCCTAAAACCAGAGTAGGTGGCACACAAAGACAGCCTGCTGGGGTGCCAGACAGCCCGGAGGCGACGGCGAGGAACGTGGCAAGAGCAGCCTCTGATGCCTGGGCCTTAGGCGTCTTCTGCACCGACCGGTGCAGCCACCGTGTCTGCCCGTGAGCTCACCCTGAGCCCCTGCCCTCCCGGCTGGCCAGGCTGGCCCCACGATGGAGCAAGTCCCAGCACATACTGAACCCGCAGGACCAACCCTGCTCCGCGCCGGAGTCCAGGCCCCGCCCCCGGCCTCCCCGGGGGGCAGCGGGGCCGCAGCGGGGGAGGAGCCTGGGCTGGGAACAGCGGGGGAGGAGCCTGGGCTGGGAAGTCATTTTCCCTTTTGCCTCGGCTGGGGCCTCGGGCCGGCTGCCTTTATGGAGAATCGATGCCGGTGTCCTCAGAGGAGGCACAAATCACTCCGCACCTGCCGGTGGAGCGTTCCGGGTGTGATTTTCTAAGAGGAAGGATTTGAGTGCTGAGTCATCTGGAGAAATAGAACATCATGCTGTTCTCTCCCATGGAGCCGGGGACCGTGTCCGGCTGTGCTGGCCAGGCCCAGAACCTGAAATAATTCGGCCGGATCTCCCTCCTCTCTTCCCCTCCCTGCCTCTCTCACCTTCTCCTCTTCCTCTCCCGTCCTCTCTCTCTCTCTCTCTGCTTCCTGGGGGCCAACGCTGAACCTAGAGGGTGCTATCCCATGGGGCTGCCACAAATGGTTGTGCCAGTTGCCCAACACGCGCTCAGACTATGGTATCAATGGCTCCCTCGAGGTGCACAACGTGTGGCCTGCACAGCCATCTGGGGCGGGGGGCCCTGGTGCTTAGGCAGCTGAGATGACTCAGCTCAAAATCCACCCTGACTCAGCACTTGCCCTTCGCTGCCCGACACAGGGCCAGCAGGCGGTTGCTGAGGCTGGGGGTGTGGATCTGCCCCCCATGGATCCACCCAGGACTGCAGGAAGGAGGCACTGGGGAAGCAAACCGCACCGTCTCCACGTCCCTCTTCAACTTGCCTGGCACACTAAGGTTGTGGGCACTGGTGCTGGTTCTCCCTCCTCACCCTCCTGCCCCTGCCCCCTCACGGTCCCCAGGGCGCTGGGACCTCTTCCTGGATTGGCCTCCTGACACCTCAGCCGAGGTCAGACCACTGGCTTCCTGAGGGCCCAGCTCGGGGAGAACGAAGGGCGTTAGTGCGGGGCTCCTGGCAGAGGTGCGGGCGAGGTTAAGGGATGGTGAGCACACGGGCACTGCAGAAGGAGCCTGTGCTCTCGGGGCTGGGCTGGTGGAGGCAGGCGTGGGGCCTGGAGGAGGAGCCGGGAGGACGGGCAGGAGCTGAGGGTGCAGCCACTTCCTGTGCAGCCTTGGGAAGAGCGAGGAAGGGGCTCTCGCCTGCACGCTCCTCCCAAAGCCGGAGTCCAGAACAGGATGGAGACATGAAATGGGCTTCCGAGGGGCAGACCGAGAGTGGGCCACAGACTCGCCACCCAGCCTAGGGCTCCTGCTGCCCTCAGACACACACACACACACACACACACACACACACACACACATACACACACACGCCCCTTGGTTGAGGCCCAGGGCTGGGAGGGCCTAGCAGGGATTTTCCCAACAAGAAGGATGGCGATGGCACAGCAGCAATGGAAAGAAGAGCTCTCCTCAAGAGTGGGCTCATGAGGACACCAGTCGAGGTCACTCACAAGCCCAGAGACTCCCCAGAAAGGGACGGGGCGACCAGTTTGGGCCAAAGGACAGTTGCTCACATGATGTACCTGGGCCGGGTGGATGGCTCTGAGCCAGGCCTGACCTCAGCCACCTCAGGGGCACTGGGCTCCCTTCTCTCCACCCCGCTGAGCCCTTTGTGGGAAGAGGGCGTCCAGGACCCCCGATCCTGGCCTTTCTGGCCGGCACCCCGCACAGGCACGTCTCAGAGACCCACAGGAAGCCTCCTCCCGGAGCCCGAGGCTGCAGGAAAGCAGAGGGAGAAAGAGGAGGTGGCGGAGAGAAGAGCTTCATTTAACGCCCCGAACAAGCCCCTGTCTGTGAGGCGGGGAACACAGTGGTGTGCTCACAGAGCAGGAGACAAACGCCGTCTCAGAGCTGGGGCTCCGCACACCGGCTCAGCGGGCTGAGGCGGCCGGCGCCTGCCAGCGCTCCCTGCCTCCGTGTCCCCCGCCAGGGCCGCAGGGCCCATGTGGCGAGCTTTCTGCTGGGCTGGGGGGCATGCAGGGCCCCGGGGAGGCCCATGGGGAAGGCCCAGCTCGGCTCCTCTTCCCGTCCTCCTTCCCCCCCTGCCCTTCTCCCAGCCAGCTGCTAAGCTCGGGGGCCCACATCCCCAAGCTCCTACTTTATGTGCCTTATGACCCTTTCTTCCATCAAGTTCTCACAACCCTCAGGGGCAGTGTGGGTCCCTTTTCTAGAGCTTCCATAATAAATGACCACAAACTGGGTATGAAGGATCCTTCACCCAATCACACCTACAAAGACCCGTTTTCCAAATAGGCTCACCGCCATGGGTACCTGGTTAGGACTTGGGCATGCTGGGATTTTGCCAGGATTCAGCCCCTTCCCAGTACGTATTCCTGGTCTCCCAGGTTATAAAGAGGGGACTGTGGTCGAGCACCGGTGCAAACCCGTCTCTGCTGGACGCTGTGGTCCACGTGTGTCCCTCTGTCCAGCCGCCTTCCTCTCTGTGACCTCCGGAGGCCTGTCCCTGGGGTCGATGACAAGGCGATAACGACAACAGAGATAAAGGCTGTCACTCAGGAAGTCCCAGCTCTGGCCAGGCCCTGGGCTGAGCTCCTTATTGTTACAAAACCAACCATAGAACGTAGGGGCTCCTTAGGAACTGCATCTCACACATGAGGAAGCTCAGAGATGATGTGGCTGGACCAAGGCCACACAGCAGCCAGCATGTCACAGGCCAGGGCCTGCCCCCCACCCCAACCCACCCAGGGCCAAAGCCTGTGTCCTGAGCCCCCATCGGAGCTGCCTCTTGAAGCCACGGCTTCCCTGCCCCCCAGAGGCTTCGAGGAGACTGTCCATGGCTCTCATGCTGGCCCCTTGGCCCCTGAGGGGCCCTCCTCACTTCTGGTGGCGGAAGTGCGACTCACACCCAGGAAGCCTAGGCAAGACCGGGGCCGATGTGGCCTGGCCCACCTGGTGTAACCAGCCAGGCAGGCCCATCACTTATATCTACCCAGCTGCCCCACCCTGCCCCGCTCCCCACGCACCGCGGTACCAGGGCCTGATGGGACTATGCCAAGTCAGGGGGCTGGGCCTGGTCTTCAGCATTGTGGCTGTGCCCGGGCGCAGGTGGCCAGTCTCACCGCCCTCCCTGCTCTGTCTCCTGCCGGCCCAGGCATTGTGCGTGCCTCCAGTGTCTTCCCCATCCTCAGCACCATCCTGCTCCTGCTCGGCGGGCTCTGCATCGGCGCCGGGAGGTTCTACAGCCGCAAGAACAACATCGTCCTCAGTGCTGGCATCCTGTTCGTGGCTGCCGGTGAGCCGGGCACTCTGGTCCCCCTGCAGAGCACACGGGGGTGAGGGGGGTGTAAGCAGGGGGAAGCGGGCAGCAGACCATACAGTCTCTGTGTTAACCTCAAAAGTCCGTGTGTGGTGTGTGTGTGTGTGTGTGTGTGTGTGAACTGTGGTGTGTGTGTGTGTGTGTGTGTGTGTGTGAACTGTGGGATGTGTGTGTGTGTGTGTGTGTGAACTGTGGTGTGTGTTTCTGTGTGTGTGAACTGTGTGGTGTGTGTGTGTGTGTGTGTGTGTAAACTGTGGTGTGTGAGTGTGTGTGTGTGTGAACTGTGGTGTGTGTGTGTGTGTGTGTGTGTGAACTGTGGGATGTGTGTGTGTGTGTGTGAACTGTGTGGTGTGTGTGTGTGTGTGTGAGTGTGTGAACTGTGGGATGTGTGTGTGTGTGTGTGAGTGTGAACTGTGGAGTGTGTGTGTGTGTGTGTGTGTGTATGTGTGAACTGTGGGATGTGTGTGTGTGTGAACTGTGGGATGTGTGTGTGAACTGTGGTGTGTGTGTATGTGTGACCTGTGGTGTGTGTATGTGTGTGTATGTGTGTGTGTGAATTGTGGGATGTGTGTGTGTGTGAACTGTGGAATGTATGTGTGTGTGAACTGTGGTGTGTGTGTGTGAACCGTGGTGTGGTGTGTGTGTGTGTGAACTGTGTGGTATGTGTGTGTGTGTGTGTGTGAACTGTGAGATGTGTGTGTGTGTGTGTGTGAGTGTGAACTGTGATGTGTGTGTGTGTGTGTGTGTGTGTGTGTATGTGAACTGTGGGATGTGTGTGTGTGTGAACTGTGGTGTGTGTGTATATGTGACCTGTGGGGTGTGTGTGTGTGTTGGGAGGGAGAGCCTGTATTTAGGGTCCAAGCCTACAGCTGGTTTGCTCAGGGCAGGGTCCCTGGCCCTGTGGCCAGAAACAGTCTAACCATCCCCCTGGGATGGGGCAGCAGGAAATGGACGGAGCGCATGGCAGTGCTCTCTCCACCTACGTTCCCCAGGCCATCGGGGGGCAAAGTGTCCCAGGCTCCTTGTCTGAGCGCCATGACTCCCCGACTCCTCACCCCCTCATCCTGGAGCTCTCGCTCGCTCGCCCTCTGCCCACCGCCAGCCTCCGAGAAGGAGGGAGGGGCCTGCGAGAGGCTGGCCGTGAGCACCGTGTAGGACAGACCGTGGCAGCGGCCACTCTTCAGGGGCAGCTGGGAGCTAAGAGCCCTCGCTTTAGTGCAAATCTCATCGGAACGTGCACTTCGCTGCCCATTCGAAAGGAGTTCCTTCAAAGACACGCTGGCAGCCAGAATCAAGCTGGGGGCCCCTCCCACCAAAGCAGGGAGTGGCCCCCAGCCCCTCTTCCGCCCACGGGTCCCACTGCCCCCATGGGTCTAACCTCTGCCTCCCCCCTGCGCCCCCTCTCTCCTCCCCTCTCAGGCCTCAGCAACATCATAGGCATCATCGTCTACATCTCCAGCAACACGGGCGACCCGAGCGACAAGCGCGACGAGGACAAGAAGAACCACTACAACTACGGCTGGTCCTTCTACTTCGGGGCCCTGTCCTTCATCGTGGCCGAGACCGTGGGCGTCCTGGCCGTGAACATTTACATCGAGAAGAACAAGGAGCTGAGGTTCAAGACCAAGCGGGAGTTCCTCAAGGCGCCCTCCTCGTCGCCCTACGCCCGGATGCCCAGCTACCGGTACCGGCGGCGGCGCTCCCGGTCCAGCTCCCGGTCCACGGAGGCCTCGCCCTCCAGGGACGCGTCCCCCGTGGGGCTGAAGATCGCCGGGGCCATCCCCATGGGCGAGCTGTCCATGTACACGCTGTCCCGGGAGCCGCTCAAGGTGACCACGGCGGCCAGCTACAGCCCGGGCCGGGACGCCGGCTTCCTGCAGGTGCACGACTTCTTCCAGCAGGACCTGAAGGAGGGCCTGCACGTGAGCATGCTCAACCGGCGGACCACCCCCGTGTGAGCGCCCCCGGCCCCGGCCTCCCCCCGGAACGGCCGCCTGGACCCCACCGGAGGGCGCTGAACCCTTAAAAGACAGACCCAACCCCCCACCCCTGGTCTCCAGAGGCGTGGAGCGAAGCGCCAGGATACTGGAATCCGAAGCGAGAGGCTGACTTTACCCCCCAAAGAGGGCGTGTGGGCAGAGGCCCAGGGTTCCGGAGTTGCCGTCCTGAGACTGCCCGGCCTTCGCCCGCCTGAGGAAACACAATCGAGCCATTCTCTCCTCTTGGAAACAAGGATTTCCGTAAGAACTTGCCCTCGGGGCCTTCCCTCCCCACCTGAGCGCAGGGCCGCTGGGAGGCCACCGGCCGGGCCCACAGGGACCTAGGACACCACTGGCCAGCTGCTTGTTCACCTGAGGTTCCCGGGCCCCGGAGCCGGAAATGTGGGAGCCGAAGCTCGCCCCTTCCTTCCTTCCCTCCATCCGTCTGTCTGTCTGTCTGTCTCTCCGGCAGTGGCCTGTGGCTGACACGGCTGTGACCCTGAGGAGAAAGACCTGCGGCCCATGGTGCTTTAGCCCCCGTGCCCCTCGCCCGGAGGAGCCCGAGGCCCGCAGGGGGGGGAGCCCGCCCAGGGAGCCTCTCGCCGGCCTGGTGTGAGCTGAAGGCCGCAGTCTTTCCCATCTGCTTCTGGAAGTTTCTGCCTCACCCAGGAAGGGCAGAACGCACTGACTGTGCGTGAGAGGCCGGAGGGTCCCGGGGGGGACAGGGGTCCCAGATGGCCCCGTGGCTCCCGCGGGGTCCTCCTGGGGCGAAGAAGAGCCTGCCACACGCTCTGGTTGGGCATCAGCATCCCAAACTGCTGGGCGAGAGAGGGGGCACGGAGGGCGAACAGGGACCAGGACCCCAGAAAACACGCTCCGGTTTCCGAGGTGGCTGTTCATCGTGATGTATGACCAATAGCCGGCAGGAGGGCACGCTCCATTCGCTTCCTCGTCTTACAAAGCAGCAGGATGCCCCCCACAACTCCCGTCCCTGTAACTTATTCTGCTGCTCCCCCCTCCCCCCAAAGGGCTCAGCGAGGAAGAGGACGGGGGCCAGGCCTCGGCTTTCTCCCTCCTCACAGAGGGCCAGCTCTGAGGAGGCAGGTTCCCTGGGTGACGTTTTTCCAACCCTGCCCCCCCCCCCCCAAAGCCAGCAGAGGCATGGAAGCATGTGGGGTTCAGGGGAAACACGTTGTGGAACACAGAGCTTACCCCCTTTTATATATATTATAAAAAAAAAAAAAAAAAAAAAAAAAAAAAGTCCTTTCTGGCTTCTGGAGACTTGGGAAGCCGGCCTGGAGCGGTCCGCTGGGATTCCCCGGAGCCGTTGGACTTGGAAGTGACAAGTGAATTCTTACCTCAGGCCCCTGCTCACAGACCCCCTGGTGGACTTGGCCCCCAGGAGTTCAGATCCAGGTCAAGGTCACTGCCATCCTCCCTTGCTCCTGAGAGGACATCTCCATGTGCCCCGCCTCTCACCTCCATGGACGGCTGCTGAGGGCTGGAGCTGAGGCTCAAAGCCCTCCCTCCCTCCCTCCCTCCTCCTCTCTCCCCCCTTCCTCCCTCCCTTCCTCCCTCCCTCCACCCTCCCCCCTTCCTCCCTCCCTCTCTCCCTCCCTCCCTTCCTCCCCCCATCTCTCCCTTCATCCCTCCCTCCCTCCCTCCCTCTCTCCCCCCTCCCTCCCCCCTCCCTCCCTCCCTCCTGCTGACCTTGGCGCTGTGAGGTTTGCCCAGCATGTGCCGCAGTGAATGCTGGGGTGTCAGGGCGCGTGGCCGCCCCTGCCGAGGGCTGACCCCAGCTGCCCTGCCTCGCCCCCCCACCCACACCCACACCCCTCCGCACCATGACTCCATCTTTCCAGGCTAGAAGGAAGGGGTGACGCCTGGGGACCCATGGCCCAGCAAGGCCCCAAGATTCCACAGCCGGCAGCCTGGCTGTTCCTCCCACAGAAGCCCCCACGCGCCCCGCTCCCCCGAAGCCTGTCTTTCGCGGAGAAAGCTGTGTTCCAACGAATCCTACCTCTTGCCCAGGCCCAGGCAGAGCACGCACAGCCCACTCGGGGGACCGAGAGAGAGTAGCGAGAAGCCACCGAGCGCAGGGAGAGCAGCCTCAGACCCTGGTCTCCGCAGCCTTTCTCCACACCCCCTGCCCCAGGCCCCGGGGGGGGGGGGGACCCCAGCTCTGGTTCCCGGCCTCCTCACAGCCTCTTCGCTGGGGCCGCCCGGGAGGGGCAAAGGAGCTGGGCTGCCCCTGTCGTCCTGAGACCGTGTGCTCCAGCCAGCCCTGTGTGTTTCGCCAATTAAGCACCTGTGAATCCTGTACCTACCACTGGTTTGGGGTTGTTAGTTCAGTCTTTTTTTCTTTTCTTTTTTTTTAATTAAATAAAATGATTTTTAAAACGTTCTCTTCCTGATGCGGGGGAGTGGGGGGGGAGGGGGGGAGCACCCCTCAAGCCTGTGGACACTGAGAGCCAAGCGTGTCCCTGAGTCTGGGGGACGCTGCGGACCCCCGAGGACAGCGGGTGCTCAGCGCGGGCCAAGGCCGGTTTCTCTGGCTGTCATCCGGCCGCTGGCCACCTCCCGGCACCAGCGGCTGGTCTCTGACCGGGGGCCTTTCCCAGCGGGGCCGGGGATGGCCTCTGAGCGGCTGAACAAGCCAGGCCTCAACCAGCTGTGGCTCAGAGGCCAAACGCTGCTCAGAGGGGTTCCTCAGTCCACCGACCTGCCTCCTCTCTGTCCAAGTTCCAAGCTGGCTACGAAGTGGAGGAGCCTGAATTCCAGGCTGAGCTTCAGTCCTGAGACAGCTGGATGGGAGGATGTGGCCCCGGCCAGAGGCCAGAGGGGACAGAGTCACCGGATCCCAGGCCACTAGGGGGAAGGAGGGAGGGGGGGAGGGAGGGAGGGAGGGAGAGGGGTGATGTGGACATTACTGCTCAGGTCCCACAGGACAGTGTCACCCACCAGGTTCAGCCCAGCAGATGCCCCCTGGCTGGAGGTCACCCCCACGCTCTTGGAGGTGTGAGGAGGATGAGCAGTGTGCCCTAGTTCCACCCAAGCTGCAGCCCAGAGGACCGTCCCCTCCAATCACGGGCTTTATCTCGGGGACTAAGACCCTGAGTTTTCCTGAGAGCCATCCTGGATCGGAGCGGCCTTTCCAACCCTCGTCCCAGCAGAGAAGGCTGAGGGCCCAGTGTCCTGTGTTCCCATCCTGTGCTGCAAGAACCACTCCCGCCTGTCCAAACTTTCGGCCCTGGCTTTTTTTATTTCTTTCTTTTTAATCTTCACCCAAAGAGAGAGGATATGTTTTCCATTGGTTTCAGAGTGAGTGGACGGGAGGGGAGAGGAGAGAGAAACATCAATGTGACAGAGACACATCAATTGGTTGCCTCCCCAACCCGGGGCGGGGGGAGGGAGAGGAGAGGATGCAGAGATGGGACCTGCAACCCAGGTATGTGCCCTTGACTGGAAATCAAACCCGAGACCTTCTGGTGTGCAAGCTGATGCTCTAACCACTAAGCCATGCCAGCCAGGGCCAGCCCCGGCGTTTTCACCCTCTTACTGGTGTCCCAAACATGCTGGGCCACCAGGTCTCAGGGTCAGGGCAGCTTTGGCCCCCACCCCACCAACCGACCCCCTGCTAAGCTCTGAGCTGATGGCTTCACCAGCCCAGAGCCAGCGCCACCCGGCGTTGGCACCACGCGCCCAGACTCCTGTGCCTCCTGTTTATTCTTAGCCTGGAAGAAACTGGCTCGGCACACGCGTTGCAGCCCTCCCGGTGGCCTCTGGTGGCAGTCTGCAGGTCGTGTCCTGGTGTGGCCTCCGGTACGGGGCTCATGGGGTCACATGTCTCATTCATCTGAAGACTCTGCCTCCACAATGTGCAGAGTTAGGTCCACAGAACTGGCACAGAAGTGGATGTTCTGGTTCCCCAGCCAAACCGCCATTCAGATCCTCCCTCTAGCCCAGCAGCCCCCATTCTGCCCTTCACTTACACTGAGCGGCCAGATTATTATGATCTCTGAACGCATAATAATCTGGCCACTCTGTGTGTGTGTGTGTGTGTGTGTGTGTGTGTGTGTGTACACACACACACACACACACACACACACACACACACATATATATATATTAGAGGCCCGGTGCATGAATTCATGCATGGGTGGGGTCTGGCCAGCCTGGCCAGGAGGAGGGGACATGGGCAGTTGGCCGGCCTGCCTGCTGGTCAAACTCCTAGTTGAGGGGACAATTTGCATATTAGCCTTTTATTATATAGGATATACACTGAGTGGCCAGATTATTATGCGTTCTGAGATCATCATACTCTGGCCATTCAGTGTATATTATTTAGAATAGGCTAGCAACATAACCAACAATCCCAAAGGAGGAATGGCTTACTACAATAGAAATCTATTTCCCACTCATCCAGTTCACTCCACTGGGCAGGTGAGGCTGCTCTGCTCCACACAGTCATTCAGAGATTCAGGGACCCACTCTCTGGAAGCTCTGCCATCTCCATCATGGGCTTCTAATGCTGCCCCTGGCATTGACACCCAGCAGGCAGATGGAGAAGAGAGAGGGCAGGTGTTCTTGTGAGTAGACAGTCTTGTGGGAGGTTTTAATGGACCAGGAAGTGTGACTCTCTCCCCTGCTCACATGCCATTGGCCAGAACTCAGTATCACTGTCCCATCGAAGAGCCAGGGAAGATGGGAAATGTAGTTTAGCCCAGGAGGAAAGGGACACAGTTTGGGGAACAGCAGTCTGGGCTTTCTGGTCCATGTCTTTCTGTATCTCCTTCCTACCACCCTGCCCCCAAATCATTCTGGGAGCGCCTCCTCGAAACGGATGTCTGTCTGGGATGGGTCCACCTCTGCAGCCTCAGCCCCTCCTTCAGCTCCAAAGTGAGGTCTGGCCTTTTCTCAGCTCCGAATACCCCGTCTGTAAAATGGGTCTGTGCTACCGTCTCCCTAGGCTGGAGGAGCAGGCTTGAGCTCCTGCCTTGACCCAAACAAGAACCACAAAAATCATGGGACACCGGGTCCCAAGCAGCAGTGGCAGGAACCTTAGGAATCATCTCATTGGGTGTTTCCCAAACTTTTGACATAGGTGTACCCCTTCTATAATTTTCGTAACACTGAGTACCCCTTGTACTCACGAGAACGTAGAATTAGGCGCAGCTAAGCACGGTGCAGTGCATATCCCCACCAAACTCTTCCCGTACCCCTGGGGGTACGCGTACCAAACTTTGGGAAACACTGATTCAACATTTTCATTATAGAAGAAGAATCAGCCCAAAAAGGAAAGGAAATGGCCGGGGCTGGGGGAGGGGGAGTTGGGAGGGGGGGCATTTTGAGCAGAGCAGCCTCACCAGCCTCACCCTTTATTCATTCATGAGAGAATGAATAAAAGGAAGGAAGGAAATATATGACAACCATGGAAGGAAGTCACCACTGGCCCAGTGGTTCTCAAGTGGGGGCAGTGTTGCTCTCCAGGGCACATTCATCCATGTCTGGAGATGTGTCCGATTGTCACAGCCTGGAAGGCGGGTGCTACTGGCATCTCCTGGGTGGAGGACAACGTCTTGCTCACGCACAGGACAGCGCTCACCCCTGCCCCCAAGAATGATCTGGCCCAAAAAGTCAGGCTGAGACACCGTGCACACGTCTGATTTTACAGTGAGGGAAACTGAGGCACAGAAGGGTGAGGTCACTTGTGCACGGCCACCCAGAGGCTTCTTGGTACTTGCACCCAGGCTGTGGGCATATCAGGAAGTCCCATTTACTTATCCCTGGGATTTCCTTTCCCTGCCACACATTCCAATCTCTGCCTCTTTTGAGCCAACCGTTTTTGGAAACAGAAGTTGCGGGTTGAAGAAGGAAATGGGGAAACAGCCACCTGTCCCAGGGTGGGGTTTGGGGGTGCCTTTGCCCCTGGGTTTGGGAACAAAGCTCAGGTGGAATGGAAGCAGGCAGCAGGAGAAACCTGGCCCAGCCTGACACCAGCCTCCTGCCCCGCTCACCCACCCCCCTCCCGCCCCGAGGCTGCACTGAGTGGCCAGGGAGGTGGCCAGGAGCCAGAAAGACAGGGATCAAATCTCCAGTCACCCGCGGGCAGCCCTGGGCAGGCCGCCCGGCCTCTCTCAGAGCCTGCGGTCAAATGAGGAAGGTTACGATTCCCTCCCCGGGTTGTGGGGAGACGGGTTCAGCTTCAGCGTAAACAAGGAAACAG